GCCTTGGAGTTTTAATGTTGACGCCATGAACTTAGAATTTATTGTCTTAGATGTATACTTAATACTACATGCAGATATGAGAAAATGTAAAACCAGGTGGAGATTGAATTTCATTTGAATCTATTCAATTCACTAAAAGAACTCCAATAGGACTGAACTTACCTTGCCTTTTTTACTTGGTTGGTTTATATGGAGTTATTAATAATTGATTATCTATCAGTTTTCTAAAATAAATATCCAAGGAAGATGGCTCTTTCCATTTGTAGTGATTTATATTTGGCGCTTTGTTTCTGCTCTGTCTGACGTAGCCTGACGTAGCAACAGCAGCAGCAAACTCTCAGAGCTTCCATCAGTGACAACAGATGTGTCATTAAGGCCTCGGTCACACAGGTCAGTGATGCCCAGGCAACCTCTGGTTACTACGGAAAATATCTAAATTCCCTAAAAAAGTTGGTAAATACTGAATGTTCCTGGTTGTCACTAGGTGAAATTGATTGCAAAGGAGGTGTTGCACCAACAACCTCCTTGTGATTGCATTGGTGGCTAGCAGATTGCCACAGTTGCCTGTAGTTTGCATGGCAGATACCAACTTGTCTGCAAACACTTGCCAACTGCTCTCTGAGCTGTAGTGGAATACATGGAATTTGAAGGGCAATAAAAACCAGAAATGGAAAATGTTTGCCTTCAAGTAAAAGTTGTGCCTTCCCGCTGCAACTAATACTTTTATTTTGAAGGCCGTTGGTCTCTTGTTTCTGGTTTATGTCGCACTCTTCACAGTTTTACTACCACTTAGAAGTACCACCACCATGTAGTTGGCACATGTTTGCAGACATCGGCATTTTTAATGCAAACTACAGATGACTGCAGCTTCCTGTTAGCAACTACAAGGAGGTTTTTAGTGCAACATTGTAACAACCACTCGTAACTGATTGCAGAATATACATTTTCTGGTAAGAGAATGCACATGTTTCACGTGTAAGCGGCGGTTACTAGATGGTCGGTCTTTAAGCCTGTGTGATTGGGGCTTTAGTCAGATACTTCATGACAAGGACAAGCCTGGGTTTAGGTAGACTGCGAAAGCGTTTTGAATCCCGATAGCTTAAATTGTGTGAACTCTGTGAGGTTTGACAATGAAATGATCTGACAGTGTTTAACTTTGGCGCACTTTGGTGACGGTGTTCTTACCTGAACTGACAGGTTCATAATGGAATCTCAATCTTCCTGGTTTGTTATAATGAAGTAGTGTGTTTATATAAAGAACAGATGGAGGTCGAGGCTTTGATGAACATAAACTTGGATGGAGAGCAAACTCAAAATGGGTATGATTCCAGGTTTTCGTGCTTTAATATGTATTTAGCTTAGCACTTTAAAGTTTAAAAACAATTTTAATCTGCACATTTTAAATCCTCATAATATGAATCTTTTTTAAACAGCAAGATAGAAAATTTAAGGTCACCTATGTTTACAGTTTGTAGCATAACAGAAAAATGTTAGTCTTTCCAATATTACAGGGAGCAAGTTTGGGATTATTTGGAATGATTTGGATGTTATTTAGAGGTATATTGAAAAAACTAACTGAATAAAGCTTCCGATTCTGAGTACCTATAAATATGTTACTATGAAACACATTTTCCAGTTTGCCTCCTATCCAAGTTCTCCTGTTGCACAGTGACCAGAAAGATTGCTTGTTTTTGTAGCATATTAACAATCATGCCTAGCATAGGGCATCGTTTGTAGCCATTTTTAGACCTACTGGGGAGAAATGTTACGCTTACAGCCTGTGATACTGTTAACGAAAAACATTGTAGCAAATTAATTGCAGTGTTAATAGCATATTTTATGAATATTTGCTATGTGAAAATGAAATAGAAAATTCTTTAGCAGCTGATTATGA